ATAAATATACATATAGCATGTTACTTTCTTTCCCCCATAGTTTTAAGTGATTCGAGTAGGATCCCCAAAGGGCTACAAATATAAATGTGAGACAGAGATGAATAAGTTGTTTCAATTATTGAGTTTTAAATTGAGTTTAATTTGATTACTTCTTCGTCCTTTCTTTTCTCACTTTTTAAACGTTATCCCTTTTTTATTTTAATTCCTTTTACAGGTTACATTGCATATGGGATCAGTGGCGGAGCCACATACATCCATGGTTGGGCATGGGCCCTACCATGGGTTCTAAAAAATCAAAAAATAAAATTAAAAACATAGGATTTTGGGGGAAAAATGGATTAAAGGCCTTACCTTAATCTTTTTATAGGGATAAAAAATACCTAAGCTCAAGTTTGAAGAAAGAAAAGGTCCTACCTTAAATTGATTCTTGGTTCCACCACTGTATGGGATTTCTTTACTCGATCATGCATCCATTATTTTATAGGAAAGTTCTTTGAACCAATGAATTTTTTAATAATAAAAATATTTTTATATGTTCCATCTGAAGGTGACAAGCTTGCGAAAAATGTTAGTTAAATAATGATGAAAGCATTTGAATATATGCATTTTCAATATAGTTCATACAGTAAATGTGTATTTTATGTTTAAGCTGAACCACAAAAGAGAATGCTTATGAGGCTCAAAAAGTAGACTCACAATGAGACATAAAAATATTAGGCTTTGTTTAGTTGAGTACTTGAATTATAAGTTTTGATTTTGATTGGTTTTTTTGTTTATTTATTTAGTAACTAATATTATTATATTTAGATTGAAATATACTCTACCTCTTAAAATAATTATTATTTTTTAACTTAACATTTGTTCTAGATTAATTGTTATTTGTTAACGACATAAACAGTTTAATGGTTATCTCTTTTCACTAAAAATAAAAGATTCTGAGTTTGAGTTGCATAGTATACGGGTAAAATGAGATAAGAGATGAGAGATGAGAAATAATTATCTTTTATTGTGTAATCAAGATAAAAAAAATAAATTAATTGTTATTTTCTATTTTTTATGCTAAATAAAATTTCCCCTTTTATCTTCATGAATTATCCTTTAAATTTAATTATCAACGTTGT